CGTGCTGTCAAACCTACACTAGCAAGGAGATCGGGCTGAAACTATAGCTACAAGCTATCCAAGGATGGTACTATAGAATGTCACCTCAAGGTAGGCCTAGTGGCGTCATCTCTTGGTTAGGCCGGAAACTTATCAATCCACCCTCGTATATGGTGAAAATATTTTTGAAAAATATCGAAAACCTATATCGTACTTCGTGAAAACTGCGTATCTTTAATACTTTAAAATAAATTGTGGTATCAAGATAAGCCATGGGTTTCTCATATTCATTGGGCAGCGCCCTGTCTAAATCTATAGAATAAACTATAAAAAACGATTTATTTTTAATTCTTGATTAGTTTCGAATATTGGTTATGGTCTAATGAATGCCCGTTAATGAGATATTTAAAAAAACATTATTTAGATAAAAAAAGACCTTTATAACAAGTGTTTACTCGATAATAATGTAAAAAGAAAATAAAACGTTTAATTAGAGCGATTATCTGTTATCACGTCTGCATGGAATGTCGAAAGTATTCTTTTGAAATTATTTGCATCCGTTAATTTTTTTTTCCTTTCTCTGTAAGAAAGACATTAAAAAAGATGATTTCTTTAATATATTCCTACCTGAAATTTGCAGCATTGATAGCAAATTAGTCTTAATGTGTATTTGTAGTTTCGATATATTATTTGGTAGAAAAATATTCGTATAATGAGGGAAAGTTCACCTAACATGAGGTACTTTTATTAAAAGTAATACGTAAAGATGAAAATAATACTTAAACATCACTCCTTTGGTTTTTTCTATGTATCTAGGAAAGGTTTTATATTTTGGAAATTGTGTGATTAATAAAAAATAGCACAAATGGCAGGCGGTAAACGCCATCTGTGGTACGATGCTACATTTTAGGATTACGGAGCAAGTAGATATCCATATATTTAAATGGACCTTGTTGGAGCATACGTAATCCTAAAATGTAGCATCGTACTACAGATGGCGTTTACCGCATCATTTGAGGTATTTTCTAAAACGCGCTGTTAAGACAGCAGGTAAAAGTTGGTCTGTGTTCTGTCGGAGCTGTCTGCGACGCGCTGATGAGATCCGCGTCTGGCAGTTTCGAGAGAATACAGACCACTTCGAATTATTTTATGTGTGATTAATCTTAAAGGAAAATATAATATAACGTTCGTGTGTATACGAGCTGTGGAAATTAATTTATCGGACTTCACAGTATAGGGTCTAACTCTAAACACCGTACCCCTTTCCATTCCTACCTATGGAAGCACCTTTGTTCCCTTCTGAATTTCGGGGGTTCAGAGCTGTCGAGACAGCCGCCTTTGATGGATGGGTATCCTTGAGGTGAGATTTCATTTTTGGGAAGAGAAAAAGTCGCAAGGGGTTAAATTGGGGCCGTGTGAGGGATACAAGAACGTGGGGAATGCTCTTTTTTCCGAAATACTCGTAGTCAATTAAAGAAGAATGCGTGGGCGCGTTGTTGTGATGAAGAATCCAAGAAGTGCCGTTTAGGTGGAAAATGTGCGCTTACATCCGCTTCAGGAGATCAACGTAAAACTGTTCAGTCACTCTCTGTCCAGAAGAAATGTACTCACGGTGGATAGTGACTTGAGTACTGAGAAGAAGATCAGAATTTTCTTCATCTTGGATTTGGACATCCTTTCTTTCGTTGACCGCTCTCTCCCTTCTTTTATCGCCTACTGGCTCAACAGCTTGGATTAACTTCGAAGAAGCCTCCATACTTTGAGGCAAAACGTTGGTGTGGTATCAATAAATAAAAACTTTCACCCCATTGGCTCTAATTATTTATTATAGCTTAATCTAGGGGAAGATATTGGAATATGTTTTAGATTAACACTAATTCCCATACACATTTCTGTATTCGTGGAGGATTTCAGTTGGTATTTCGCCGGCGTTCATGTTGTTTGAGATTTGAGTATTCCGTTTTTGCATCACCACTAAAAATCTTACTTCAAACGTGAACGAAATGACCTACCGACTTCATACTTATAAAGGAAATTTCACCATTTGCAACAATGTGACTTCGAACTTCGCAGTGTTGTTGGGTGAGTAGTTATAACTAAATTCTGGAGACTTCATTGTCACATCTCGTAAGGAAAGAAAAAGTAGTACAAGAGCGAATATAATGACAGGAAAAGAAAAATTAGAAGAATTGGCCGAGTTTAGGTATCTAGGATGTCAGATAAGTCAGGACGGAAGGAGCAGTAGGAATATAAAGCAGAGGATAGCGCAGGGTCGAGTCGCTTTCAATAAAAAGAAGTCACTTCTGTGCTCGCGAAACGATTAATTTAGAACTTCGAAAAAGGTTGTTAAAGGTGTATGTTTCGAGTACGGCGCTGTATGGGTGCGAAACATGGACCGTGGACGCGGTGGAAAAGAAAAGGTTGGAAGCATTCGAAATGTGTTATTACCGGCGAATGATGAGGATACCGTGGATAGAGAAGGTTAGAAATGAGATATTGAATAGTGTTTTGTGTTGTGAGGAAATAAATATATGATGAAAGAATACTCTCTGGTATCCTCACGTTAAACGCCAAATTAATAGCGAGTAACCAGTTCAAAAAAGTGGTAAAAGGCGATAGTTTTGTAAAATATTTAATTATTAACACTTAACACTTACTTTATACATATAACAATTATAATTATCTAGGTAGCTCTGAGAATCTCAATTTTAATGTGTGAAAGTTATTGGTTGCGAATGATGATAATGAAT